TCAGCGCGGCTCCTGACCCCGGCCGGCTCCCTGGCGGCGGCGGCAAGGCAGCAGTCGGGAGCCTCTCGGGAGATTGCTGCGTCCTAGAGGGGGCGCTCACTCTCCGGAGAGCGCCCCTTATTCGACGCAAAGCTGCTTCTCTCCTTTTGCTTCTTCTGCCAGGGCTGGGGTAGGGTACTTCCTCTAACCTATTTTCAGGACCCCTGTCGCCTGAGGAGCTCCTATATTCTCCTTCATTGCACCATTCTAACCCATAATTCTAAGGAACACCAAACCTCTTTCCCCGTTGAGTTCCTTCCATCCGTCTTCTGGAACTCCCTCATGCCTTACACTTTATTCAGGGACCCTCCTCTTACCTCTTAGCCTGAAGAGTCCCCAAGGCCAGTGCTTTCCCTGAATTTCCTCTGCAGGCCTCTTCATTGCTTCCTAAGCAGATTTGCGCTCCCTGAGACCTTTCCCGATCACCCTGTCCTCCGACCCTTTTCCTCTGAATGGCGGAAAGGAGAGGTAAGGAGGTGGGGGGCACAGGGACTGTGTGGATAGGTCCCACTTCTTGCTGCCGTATTCCTTCCCTGATCGCAGTGTTGGACCCCTTCTGTAAGCGCACGGCGGTTCCCGGTTTGGGGAGTCACGGTGGCCGAGTGGTTAAGGCGTTGGACTCGAAATCCAATGGGGTTTCCCCGCACAGGTTCGAATCCTGTTCGTGACGGTCGCTATATATATATATATGCTTATCAATTTTTTTTCTCTCTTCCAACGACTTATTAAAGGAGCCTGTCTTCCTATTTTTCTGTCTCCTCATGTGTCTTTCTTGCACTTCCCTTCCGGTTTTGAAAAGGGAAGCCAAAATGCTTCGCCCCTGTCTTTAGGAGATTTATGCACAGCTGTATTGGCTGCTAGGCTAGCTGCAAAGCATGTTCAGAATTCTCTAATCAGAGTGCTATCATAGCGCTTTATTTTTCCGATGGGGGGTAACAATGAATTTGGCTGAAGAAAGGTTAATTTTTGTTTGGGAATGTATGTGAGTGGTTTTGCAGTGATGGTTAAACCTGCAGTTTCTCTGGATTTCACCAGCAGCAGCTCCTCCTGAGAAAGGTTTGATCTGTAAGTAAGGACTTACAGAAACTTAGAAACTGTATGAAGACTTAAACTCTGTCCTATAGGGTTACTATGACAATCAGTGGAGGGAAGTGGGTTTGGTTTTGGTTGGTCTGGTTTTCATGACCAGAAGTCACATTTATGAGTGTGATGACACTGAGGACTCAGGATACGGGCATTTTGTTTTGGATTTCCTCGAGGATACCTCAGGTATCATCAGGACTAGGAGGGAGCAGTCTACTGACACGTAAGTACTGCAGATTTAGCTGGACTCAGGGTGTGGATTTTAAGTGGCCCTTTTTATTGATTGCTCATTATGTGCTGTTGTTGTTGTTGTTGTTGTTGTTGTCATGTGCCATCGAGTCGCTTGCGACTCATAGCGACCCTATGTACAACAGCCCTAAACTCTGCTCTGTCCTGTGCCAATCGCACTGTCTCTGACACTCCCATCCCGATTACCCCAGTCACTGAATCAATCCACCTCATAGAGGGTCTTCCCCTCCTGCGCTGTCCCTCCACCCTCCCAAGCATGATGTCCTTCTCCAAGGACCGGTCCCTCCTCACAACATGTCCAAAGTATGTTAGACGGAGCCTCAGAATCCTTGCTTCCAAGGAGCCACCCGGTTTAACCCTTTCCAGGACGAATCTGTTTGTTTTCCTAGCAGTCCATGGTATTCTCAATACTCTTCTCCAGCACCACAGCTCAAAGGCATCAATTCTCCTTCTATCCTCTTTGGTCATTGTCCAACTCTCTGATGCATAACAAGTGATTACGAAGACCATGGCCTGTATCAAACGCACCTTAGTCTCCAGAGAGACACCATTGCTCTTCAGTACTTTGGAGAGGTCCCTAACAGCAGACTTTCCCATGGCAATGCGCCTTTTAATTTCCTGGCTACTGGTGCCAAGAGTGTTGACTGTGGAGCCAAGCAAACTAAAGCTAGGCACTGTTTATTCTAAATGTGTATTAACCAAACAATTCATTTCTTCTCTAATAAACCATCAATAGTTATCTTACCCTCTTTTTTCTGAGGATCATTGCCCCTCCCCATTACAGATTTCCAAAATCCAGAGCCTTTTAAGCTTCCCCTTTCAGGAATTTTTATCTGTGTTCCAACATTATGCACTGAGTTGCCTGAAAAGCATTGTGCTTGACAGGCCTCTGACATATATATTATAAATATGTTATTGTTGCTATGTGCCGTCATGTTGCCTGCAACTCATAGCGACCTTACGTACAATAGCTCTGAAGCCTACCTATCCTGAGCCAGTCTTACTGACTCTGATACACCTACTCCCATTACCCTAATTACTGTCTCAATCCATCTCATCCAGGGTCTTCCTCTCCTGCACTGTCCCTCCACCCTTCCAAGCATGATGTTCTTCTCCAAGGATCAGTCCCTCCTAGCCACATGCCCGAAGTATGTGAGATGAAGCTTCAAAATGTTAGCCTCCAAAAAAAAATGCTAGCCTCCAAGGAGAAACTTGGTTTCACCCTCTTCAAAACAAGACCTATATGTTTTCTTGGTGGTCCATGGTATGTTCAAGACTCTTCTCCAGCACCACAACTCAAAGGCATCAATAATTTTTCTATCCTCCTTAGTCATCATCCAGCTCTCTGATGCACAGCTATTGTAAAGATCATGGCCTGGATCAGGTACACCTTAGTCTCTACACTGACATCATTGCTTCTCAGTACGCTGGAAAGGTCCCTGACAGCAGATTTACCTTCTGGAATTTGCCTTTTGATTTCCTGACTACTGGTGCCAAAAGTGTTGACTGAGGAACTGAGCTGTTGTGTGTATATATTTATTGTTGTTATATACTGTAGAGTCGGAAACATGGTCAGATTCTCAGAAGCAGTTAATCCCACGGGGGAGGAGATTGCCCATCCTTCTGTCCTTCTCCACAGAACAGCTGGTGGTTTCAAACTGCATGCCTTTGATATTGCAGTGCATCTTCCTGCCACTAGGCCACCAGTGCCAACCAGCCACACACACACACACACACACACCCGCAGTGCATCTTCCTGCCACTAGGCCACCAGTGCCAGCCAGCCACACACACACAC